CCCTCCCTCCCTCCCTCCCTCCCTCTCAGTCCCATCACTCTCTCGGTCAGCCATTCTTACTCTTGAGTCACAGGTGTGTTGGCTTGGTCAGTCGAAGGCACAGGTGGCACAGGTTGCACAGGTGCTTGGCCCGAGGCAGCGGATGCAGCAGCGACACCAGGAGGGGTGAGCCTTACGCGAACAGTGAATCGACACGGCTCTGCAGATCGTGCCTTAGCCGCCTGATCGATCAGTTTCAGACACACAAAGCAAACACGAGACAAAATTGGACTCACAGGTGAAGGCACATCAAGTTGATGCACAATTATCTCTACCTGCAGTGCGGTTGATGCGGTGTCGTCATCTCCGTAGTTGAACCACTCTCCCTGGCTCGCATACTGCAGCACGTAGCCCTCCCTGCCTTGATGATCGGCACGCAGCTTGTTGAGGAGCCGATTGCGAAGCTCCCGACAGCTGGTCTCCTGGCCCTCCAGACCTGTTCTGAACCCTCTCGTGAACCACAGCCGGACCTGAAGATTGTCCGCTGCTTGCCCACCGGCTCCCGTTGCGACGTTGCAGTTGAACAGTACCCGGCACTGCAGGGGAAGTGCCTCTTCCTGCAGATTGAACAACATCTGCACGTCGGTGACGAGGGGGACTGCCGACGAGCTGATGATCGTTTACACGGAAGCATGGGCGACCAGCACGTCTGATCTAGAGCCGACGAGCTTGCGGCATTAGGGTTCTTCGTGAACCGTTCGCGACGCCCCAAAAGCACCAGGGGGGTGTGCAGTGCATGTCTTGCTGACAATTATATTAACAGCCATACTCATTCATACAGACATGTCAATCGGATGTTGTGAGCGACACGACACCCACCGCACTTTTCTTCTGTCTGGTGTGCAGTGCGTCAGCGTCAGCATGGCCTCCTGCCTTTATCGATGCGGGCGGTCATGCGTGCGTGCGTGCGTGCGTGTGAGGCTACAGAGAGGAATGATTCATTGACGTGAAGTGGTGTGTGTGGTTCGCTGGCGTGTGTTGGATTGATTCTTTGATCTTCCGCTGATTTGTTCGTTGGTCCGTATGCAGACAGCCAGACAGCCAGCCAGCCAGACAGACAGCATGTAAAAAGGAAAGTCATCCGTCCAGCTACGATATCCACCCACCCCCCATCCACAAGATATGATGTGTGTGTCTGTCCGTTTTGCGACACGTGCGAAGGAAGCCAAGCGTGTGAGAGGGATTGTGTTGGTGTCGACACACTTGCAGCCATGCCATGCCATGGGTGCGGTGGATAGGGAGAGAAAAGGAAAGGGAGACAGCCAGGCGCATGGCAGGCAGGCAAACCAACCATAATGTTGGCATCTTAAAAGACACACCACACCCAGAATAGGATACATAGGATGCTTAGTTGTCCTACACACAAAGGGGGGAGGTCAGCCAGACAGAGGGCGGGCAGGCGGTACGCAGACAGACAGACAGACAGACAGAGACGGACAGACAAGACAGGCCAACCCACACACACCCACCGCCCTCTCTCCGATATGCACTACGGCCCAACCAGCTACGACCGCCCCCGAGTCACTCCATGGCATCCATTCCCCCACCCACCCCCGCGTACACACTCTTGAAGCCCTTGCCCCGGCAGAAATCGAAGTACCGGCCCTTTTCATCCTCGAAGGTGAGGACATACTCTGAGTCATCTTTTTTTTACCGAGCTGCCCGCTATTTTCGGCCGTTCGCCCTCGTCCGTCGTCTTGTGGCACATGGCCGCCAGACCGTCGGAGGCGCAGACGCCCAGGTAGCGCATTGAGTAGCAAAATTTTGGGCCCTCGAAGGAGGAACCACCGCAAACATGCTTCTCCTGGATAGCCTCACTGACCACGCAGACGCCACCCGTGCCGCAAGCACGGGTCGACCCCCCTAGTATACGCCCCACTACAACCCAGCAAAGTTTGCCTGCATTGCACGATCCATACATAATCCACACCAACACAATGCATAATTCATTGTCAGGGAGGGAGGGAACAAGTGTTTGTTCCTGTGTGTGTACTTTCAGGCTGCTGGTGGGATTCGGTTGCGGCTGTCATTTGCATCATCGCGATGCTATGAGCCTTATCGATGGCTACGTTGATGGCTTGAATGGCCGACTGGGTCAGCTCTTCGGCCGCAATGGTCAGCTCGTTCGCCGCGGTGTTGAGCTTCATGGCGGACTGGTAGATGGCCTTGCCCATCTGGATCTGCTGCTGCACCATCGACGACTCCACCGTCGACACATCTGTTCATGTTTGTCCGTGCCGTGGACCAACGCGTGTGTGGCCCCCGGCGCATCGTTACACATCAATCAATCACACACGATCTGAAGGAACCACACAAGCCGAAAAGCAGCAACGACACACAAGATGGGCACATCTGCCATGACGTGTGGTCGGATCGGTGCGGTGTGGCTTCCCTATGGCTTACCTTGGCCATGGGAGCGCTGGGCTGCCAGCAGAGGCCGCACAATGGCCGCCAGGCCAACCACCACGACGATGCCGAAGCCGAAACGCATCATGACGGAGCCGCAGACGTGAGAAACGATGCGTATGCTTGGCGACTTAAAGGGAAGATCTCTCTCTGACGCAAGAGAACCTCCGATGCAATCGAATTGAACCTGGCCGGAGCTCGCAAAGATCTGACCTTCCAACCGAGCCACCGTCCATCCCGTGATGCCTGGGCAGACGGAGAGCTCCTCCGCTGCTGTGCCGTGCTACGGCATCATCACTGCCAACTCACAGGTGAGCGATGGATCATTGAGTGAGGAGGGCACAGTGAGGGCAGCAGATGGACGACTCACTTAGTGGCCATCGTTGGTGATGTGACTGGTGGCAATGCGGTGTGGTGCAGAGCGGCCTCTCGTGTGCGCGGTATCTGTGCGACACCCTGGACCTCACACACATGACAGGTGCACTGCACTGACAGCACAAGACGGCGGCAGGGAGAGAGGGGGGGAGAGCGCTATTCAATTCACCTCATTAGCTGCTTTAATTCCACCCTCCCTCCCTCTTTGTGTGTGCAGGTGTAGTGAGATGCATTGTGCGCAGCGAGGACAAGAAGGGCAAGATCCTCCACACACTGGGGAGGAAACAAGACGACCCACGGCTGCAGTTCCATTGCGGGGTGGATGCCGACGACGAGGCGTCGCTCCTGAGTGCCTTTGAGGGCTGCACGAGCCTCCTGGTCGTCACACCGACCACCGCCACCCGAGGCCCTCAGACGCAGAAGATGCTGCACGCTGCCAAGAAGGCTAACGTCGCCCCAGGTTGGCATGATGGCAACAGACAATTGCCGCTGACGATTCATGTGTGTGTGTGTGTGTGAATGGCAGGGTGGGTGGTGGTGGTGTCGTCATGGACTGTCATGATGAATCATCCGCTGTCCATTGACCAATTTGAGCACTCCGAGAAGGTCGCTGCCGAACTGTTCCCTCACCGCGCCGCCACGCTGCGAGCAGGCTACTTCATGGTCGGCACACACAGTGACGCCGTTCGTGTGTGTCGATGCGCCCGTGTGTGTGTGTGTGCAGTCGAATTTCCTTGAATTTGGCTCGTCGGTCAGGAATGCCGGTTCGATCTTCCTGCCCATGAAAGACGCCCACTTCGCGCCTGTCGACCCTCAAGACATTGGCGCCACCGCCGCGGCCATCATGCTGACGCCGCCCGTGTGGCCCGCAGCGCTGCGGGTGGTCGACGTCAGCGGGCCGGAGACTGTCACGATGCAGGACGTCACACATCTGCTGTCACAGATCCTCGGTAAGTGGTAAATAAGTGGAGTGGGTCACTGAGCCAGCGGGACAGACGACAGAGGAGAGAGAAGAACGAGTGTGTGTCAACCAACTGTGTTGTGTTGATGTGTGTCTATCTCATCGTGTGTGTTTATGTGTGGATGCCATCCATCGATGGTATTGATGTGTGGACTGGACTGCCCATCAGGGAAGGAGGTGCAGTACGTGTCAGTGGAGCTGGAGCAGGGGATGGCGGCGATGCGCACCCACGGGGCGCCGGACTGGGCCGTCGACTTCGTCAGGGCGCTCATCCCCTTCATGTGGAGCGGCATGATCGAGAAGCCTTACCGCGATGTGGAGATCCTCACTGGACGACGCTCAACACTCAAGGTTTTTCTGGAGAGGCATAAGGCCGTCTTTGAGTGAATAGGATAGGATAGCCTTGAAGGATTTGATTGATGTGTCTGTCTGGTGTGTGTCGTTTCTTTGTATGTTCTCCTCTCGAGTGAGTGAGCTGATCGATCGAGGAGACTTTGACGAATCAATCGCCCGATTGACCGACTGACTTTGGGCACCCGATGCCATCCCACGAGGAGGGAGGCAGGGGGCCTGCTCCTTTTCTCGAGCAGCCTAGCCTGCCTAGCCTGTCTTGTCAGACTTGCTGGTGTCAGTCAGTCAGAGGGGAAGTGTGGCATTGACTGCAGTGATTGGCTCTATCTGCTGCAGTCACTGCAGCACTTCCTTTTTTGTGAGTGTGTGGTCTTCCTTCCTCACTCAGGTCCATCTCATCTTCTCTGGTGCACACAGCCATCCATCCACAAATCCATTGGTGTGCAGCATAGGCAGCGTGGGTTTGGATGGCCATAGAAGGGAATGAGTGAGTGCAGTGTGCAACGGTCTCTTCAATGGCCCCATCACGACTACCTCCACTAGTTGAGGGACTGACTGAAAGGTGTGTGGGTCTGCTCTTCAATGTGAAAGTGAATGCCTCACCCAATCTGTGCGTGTGCATCCGCTCACGAGGGACGAACGAGCAAACAAAGGAACGAAAGGATCCAGAAGATAAAGACAAGATGCAATACACACGGCTGAAACCTCCTGTCTCTGGAGCCGCAGCCGCCCACACCGCACACCAGAAGGCCATAATTGATTGGGGATGAGAAAGGAAGTGTCTCACCGGCAATCAACACTCTGAGACACGCCCACACGAGTGTCATCCAATCATCAGTCATGTCTCCCTGTCCCTCCAGGCCTCCTTCTGTCTTTTCCACTCGCCGGCCCTCTGCCTCCGATACTCCGATATGCACTCCTTGACCAGCCCCCGGGCCTCCCTCTTCATCTTGGCGGCCATCTCACCCTCACCATCCACAGGGCCGCACATGGCCACCTTCAGCAGGTCCCCACACGCATCTCGCCATTGGTGCAGACGCGCACAGGCGATTCCTCGGCGGTAGTGCGCCTTCATGGCCGCCGAGCGGTCCTCAGGCGAAGCCGTGGCGTCCTCCGTGTGTGTGAGAGCGGCCGTGCAGTCGCTGACGGCCTCTCTGTATCGGTGCAGCTTGAGATAGCACGACGCCCTGTTGAGCAGGAGGGTCCGCTCAGCCGATAAGATCTCTGCGCTGCGGTCGGCCGACGTCATGCTGGGCTGCCCATAGGACTGCAGGAGGCCCAGGGCGCTCGTGTAGTGGTCGAGGGCTGCCCGGTGGTCGCCTCTGCTGAAGAGTTTGTTGCCTTTGGCCTTTTTCTCGATGGCCGACGAGAGCAGAGTGCGGCGGACGGCCCACCCAGGCCCTCCGCCCTTGCCGATCTGCACCTTCATGGGCTTCCCCTGCCTCCCCTTAGCGGACTCAGCCCTCTCCTTCACAAACGCACTGCCTGCGTGGTGGCTGGTGGTGGTGGTGATGGTGGCCGCCCGTTGGTCAGCCCCGGCGTCTCGGTCAAGCCTCTCTGCCTCTTGGTCAGCCCATCTGTCCCAGGCGGCGTAGTAGGCCTTCATGTCGGCCTTGTCGCGCTGCAGCTGACGCGCCTCGCCCTCCGCCTCCACCTGGTTGTCCTTTTGCGGGGCAGTGGCGGCGTGCTTGAAGGGGTTGTCCACCTTGTGTTTGGTCTTTGGGGCCCTCCTGAAGTCCTCCTGCCACTGGTAGAGGTCGTCGATGTAGCTGCGGGTCTCATCGGCGTTGCGGCGGATCTGGTGCTGAATCTCCATGACGTTCCGCTGGGCACTGACGGCCATTGTGGTGGGCTCGTGGCTGACAGGGGATGCTGGAGACCAGTCGCTCTAGTCTTTTCGGTGAAGACGGTAACAGCTGCGAGACGCCCCCATGCAACGTGCTGGCCAATGCTCGCATCCCCTTTACCGGAAGGTCGCCCTTCTATCTCAGACACTCACACACAATGGCGAATTGGCAGAGGGGGATGGGGACATGTCGAGACATAGACATGGATGGAGACATGCAACGTGCGATTGTGTCCATCCCATGGATGTGGCAGTAAGTGAGTGACTGAGTGACTTGATGAGTGAGTGAGTGAGATGGTCGGCCCATCGGCTGCCGGCAAGCCATACACACATGCTATCCTCCGTCTGCATCCATCTCCCTCCCCCTCGCTTCCCTCACTTGGCCTGGTTGCCTTTCGTCTTCTTTAACACTAGCTCCATCTGCAGCATGTTGATGAAGCTGTCATCCACACCGTCCCCCTCGCACTCACACGACGGCGAGCGCTCGTTCCTTGTGTTGCCTTGCGGGAGATACCTATGTGACAGACAGGAGACGCCACTGCCATGTTGGCGTCTGTCTTGTGGTCTGGTGTGGTGTGATTGCATCTGACTGAATGCTCCTATCTATTTGTGAGACCGACCAGCTGTGTGTTGGTGTTTATTGCGGTGGTGTGTGCGTCAGGGAATACACGTCAGGAGATTTGGTGCGTTGTTTGTTCTACCCTCCGGGGACGCAATGCGCCGACACACATGGGCCTGGCGGCTTCACAACACACATACATACACACGAATGCGGCAAGGATGCCGGTCCATCCAATGCTGCACTGTCGCATACAGTACATGTCAGTCAGTCACTTGGTCAGTCAGTCAGTCAGTCTGCCTGGGGCGACAAACGATTCGACGGTCTCACTCGCTCGCCATCCCCTCGACCGACCAATCGATAGACACGCTCATCGCATCACAACAAATCACACGCACAGTCCGTCCCCTCCCTCCCTTTGTCTCACACACCCATCCGACGCGTCTCTCGATCCGCTGGAAGAGGTCCAGCCGCTCGCCCGTCCGGCTGTCCGTCCACAGCTTCACGGGGTGCGGTGCGATGCCGCGGGCCGGGTTGCCCACCAAACGCTCGTTGCCCTTTGTCTGCAGGCACACATAGACACACACATACGAGAGAGAGAGGGAGACATGGACATATGGAAAGGCCTAGTGGCTCCCTCCCTTGTGCCTTGCCTAACACACCTTGATGATCAAGGCCGCGTAGGAGATGTGCTGTCGGATGTCGGCAGCGATGCCAAACATCTTGGCCTTTTCATGCACGTTGAGGCTGGGGATGTCATAGCTGTCCTGCAGGTGCGGCTCAGCGGCGAATTTGCCCACGCCTTTGGCCAGCACGACTGCCGGGACGCCGTGGGCCGCCTCGAGGTGATTGAAGAGAGGCGAGTGGAAGGCGGCGTCCTTGCCCTTGAGCCAGCGGACCGGCCGCAGGGCGTCGTTGACTACATTCTCCACCTCAAGACGCACCTGCCTTCGACGCATCCGCTCCGCCGCGGTCTCGGCCTCCTTCGTGTCCTTCTTGTCCTTCTTGTCCTCACGGACCCTCGCCGCCTCCTCTTTGCTCCTGGCTGCACGAGTCGCCTGACAAGTACCCGCCAGCCAGCCACAAAAGTCAGTACCATATGAGCATTAACGTTTCCTCCTCACTGACTGACGCACCTGTTCGATTCTTTTGGCCGCTGCCTCTATGGCCGCCTCTGCCGGCGACAGGCGCTTCCTCTTTTTCCCTGCAGCCGGCTGTCGGCCACCGGCATCACCCTGCGCTGGCAAGATGCTGCCCATGCCGCCCTCCCCAATCAACACTCGCAGACGATCTAGTGGAATGGCCGGATGCAACGCCGCGATGGACAATGGCCTCAGGTGGGCCTCCCCTCCGTCCACGCTCACCGCCTCGTTGACGTGCACTTTGGCCCCATGGCGACAAAGCCATTTGATAGTCGCAGTCCCGCTCGCATGATGGCCGCGGTGGGACGCTGCTGCGACGTGCAGGGGCCGCCAGCCCTGCGCGTCCTGAGTGCGGATGAGGGCGGCTCCTCCCTTGGCGTGCAGCAGATCGAGCAGCTGCTCCTGCCGCTTGGGGTCCTTCAGGGGCAGCTCACAGAAACGGTGGAGGGCCGTCTGGAGGTTGGAGTCGGTGTCGGTGGCCAGGGACGGGTCGGCGGACAGCAGTGACTCAGCGATGCGCACCTTGTTTTCGTCGGAGACGGTCTTGGCCTCAGCGAGGGCGTGAAGCAGGCCTTGGCCGGCCAGCTGCGGTCGGCCCTTCAGCAGAGCATCGACAGCCCCACAAACGCCCCTCTCCACAGCTGTCTTGCGGGCCATCCCTTCGCCCATCCCCTCCCCGACGTCCATGTCCACGTCTCCGTGCGCATCACGGCTGGCGGTGCGGG